TTGAGAACCACTGGTTAGTTAGACTAATCTGTGGAGTGAAATGTCTCCCAGCTTTTATTCAGCCAGTAACTTCAACCAGGGACAACCTCTCATGCCAGGAAGCTTTTCAGGATACACCCTCTCCTTGAGGACCCGACTCTTCCCAGCCAGCTCTTTGTCCCCAAACAGCTGGGTGATGGGTGAAGCCCCGACTAGGAAGTCCTCACAGAAACACCACTAGCAGCGGCTCTCTACACCCTTAAAACTAAGGCACTAGGGCTTGGAAGCCCCCTTACCACTCAGCAGAGGGCTGGTTAGAGGCAGAGCCACTGAAAACCCAGCCTGCTCCAAGCCACCTCCCACACCTTGGCAAGCAGACCCACACTGCCCTCTGGTGGCCTTGCCTGTAGACACCCTAACAGCACCCCCAACTGGACTAGAGGAGCCAAGCCCCAGCCCAAAGATGGTGGGTCTTACTCAGGTGAGGAGTGGGGGCCCCACAGAAACCCTGAACGGAGCAACCGCCTGAAGAGACTCTGTTTCCCCTCATTTCCCTTGGCTGAGGCCCACATTCACTGGTGGCCACTAATGCCCTCTCTGCACAGTCCCCCCAGGGCTGGGGCTTTCAAGTGTTCTGAAGACGCGTGGGGGTCCCCCCAACAACAGGAGCTGTCTAGCCCTCAGGAGGTCCTTTGCATGGGGGGCCCCTGAAGGAGGGCTGGGTGATACCATCTTTTAAAAGCAGAGTGCCCCAGAGACAGTCTGCTTCCTGGGACCCCTGGCACTGAGCAGATTTCCATCAATGTCTGTTGATGCAAGAAAAAACGGAAGCCAGGCTGCAGAGCTCCTAAAAGGGAGCTTAGGTGGCCCAAGCAGATATGGGGAAAGTGACTTTAATTACCTGGGTAAGGGGAGTGACCACTCAGCCAGGAGCCAGAGTTTAAGTCCCAGTGGGGTATGACCTAGCCAAGGCCTTGATGAAGGACAGTGGGGCCGCTGGAAGTGGGGAGGGGGCAGAAGACACCAGGATCAATCTCCAAGACCCCCACCACCCACACACACCATTTTCTCAAGCAAGAACCATCTCCAATTTCCTATCCTCTGCCCCTCCAAATTGGGCCAAAGCTGATTATCAGTAAATCCCAGACAAAGGCAAATTGCGGTGGCCAAGAACACTTTACATCATTAGCTAAAAGCTTCTCTGGTCAAGTGCTTCCCCACTGCCCCCCCTTCCCCCCAAACCCAGTCTGGCTGCCACCCAGCACTGCGGCCAGAGAACCATCACTGTGTCACCTCCAGCAAGTCCCTATCCTCACTGAGCCTCTAGAACCCAAATGACCCAAGTGGCTTTGGAAGCTTCTCCCTGTCTGAGGAGGCCAGAGAGAACCAGTGCCCTCACTGTTCCGGTCCCCAAGCTTTGTCCCTGGCACTCTCCCCCAGCTAAGGATGGGGTCATGAAGGCTTGGCTGCTAGCCAAGAAACAAGCCCAAATTTGGTAACCAGGAAGTGGCAGAGCTGGTGGGGTGGGAGTTGTCAGGTGAGCATCCCTGGGGCTCAGCATGAGGGGGGTGCATCTGACTGGAGCAGGATTCCAATAGATTAACCCCAGTCTGGCCTTATCATCCTCTCCCCCTCCTCATCCCCAAAGCGGACGTGGGGTGGGGGCGGGCGAGCAGCTTTGCTGTCCTTCATCAGACAGCAGTAGGGTCCAACCAGCCCCAGCCCTGGTCCTGGTCCTGGACAGGGAAGACACACACAGACCTGGAGCTGGGTCTGTCCCTCCTTGGTATGCGACCTTGAGATTAAGCCCCTCTCCTCTCAGGGAAAATATGCCTTAGAATGAGCTCCTGCCTGCATCGCCAAAAG